TGTGTGTGTGTGTGTGTGTGTGTGTGTGTGTGTGTGTGTGTGTGTGTTAAGATATGTACCTCAAAGGATTCTTAATTCTACTCTAAAAGGCTCTTAGTGTAAATACAGGACTTCCTTTTAAGAGATATGAAAATAATTTACTCAATGTACACAAAATTGATTGATAAAACAGGGTACACCTATTTAACATATATCCTTTTAAGATCATATGATCTCTTAGAATTCTTAGTCAAAAGCTCCTTTTATGAAAGGCTTATAAAATATTCTTAGGCAGAAATAAATGCTTCATCTTCATTTTTATTTAAACATCTCAAACACAAAGCATATGAGAAGATTAAAAAAAAATTCCCTATCTACCTAGCTGGTAAGCCAAAGCTATACCAACAAAAGATACTTTATTTGGTCTTGCTTTATTCTAATCTGTATAGCTATTCAACAGTCTTGTAACACATTGTGATCACTGTCAGGTAGACAGATTGTCACTTGGTGATTTTCTACAGTTGGACACACTCGACTAGTTATCAAAATCACATTTGAAGGAAGTTCCTACCCCTCTTCCTTGTGCTTCTTACAACTTTTCACGCCCTTCTCAAATTTCTGCTATAACTTCCCCTCCCACCAAAACTAACTTAAAGGACACTGTTGCACTCTGCTAAACAGGGTGAAATAGAGGCATTCAGTACACTGTCTCTGGTGTAAGGAACATAGTTAAAAAAGGTCACCATAGGCCAAAAAGAAAATTGCCTCCTTACTAGATTTTGTACCATGAGTAAGTGGTCTCCTGTCATGTTCCTTTCCTGCCCTCTTCTCTCAACTGAATTGAACTTTTCTTTTCTTTTTTTTTTTTGAACACATGCTTTGGAATCTGGCTATGTCAAAGTAGGATCTCAGAATAAAAAAGAAAGATGAGAAAAAAAATCAGAGAATTTCAAATCTAGAAGAAACCTCAGGGATCTGAAAGATTTCCAACTGAAGGCAACATAAATTTTAATAAACTGGTATAATGTGAACATCATAGTTATGTAATAACTGAATTTCAATTAAAAAACTTCTCAGAACAAATTAAAAATACTTAAAAATGACAAATGTCACGCTACATGAAATCCACAAGTTCAGTAAAGGAAACTGATTCTATGATGGGGGAGGTGATTTGAAGATATGCATTTAAAATTTTTTTTGGAACCCCTAGTAATACAAACTGAAAAATTTTGTCAATTATAATTTTATGTGCATCATGAAATCTGAACCTTTACATGTGTAGTCTAAAACAGACACACATAAATCATCAAAGAAGTAGAATTTGTCTAAGTTATTGATTATGTAACAGAAAATTACATGACTCATTTGTCCAATTTTATAAAGACACAATGTCAATTTTTCACTGAGCCTTCAACAGATGAAAAATGATTCTATTTTTAAAATCACCACTATGTAAATCAATTAAAGGATTTTTATCAATTAGACAGGGAAGATAAAATTTCTTCTTTTTAACAGCTGGATTCTACAGAAAACAGCTTACTCTTTTAAACATATCAGACCTTTAGACATAACAAATCCAAGCAAAAAACATCTTGAATATTTATCCAAAGGCCTTTTCTCTAGACATCTCACAAAATCATTGCTATCCCAACTTTCAAAAAAGATTTCCAAGCTAAATTCCAGTCATTCCATAACAAAATTAATTTTGTTTATTTTTATTCTTTTTTGTTATTTCAAGTAATGCAAATAATAACATTGAATATAAATTATCCTTTATTTTTAATAAAAGCTATGTGCACTACTTCTATTATACCCTTACAGAGCAGGAAAAGCAAGCAGTCATGCATCAATACTTTGACCCTATCTAATGCTCTAAATGGTACAGATACATATATATCACACTAAAAGTTTGCCTTTCTCTTTATTTCATTCTTGAAATAGCTAACATGCCTGAAAGGTTTCAGTATCTCAATATGTGGTACCAATTTTGCTGTAGCTTAGCCTTAGAAAGGATCATTGAAAAAAAACTATGGAGAATAAAAAAATATTCACATGAAAATTAGGCAAAGACAAAATCTCGATCACTAAAAATGACAATTTTGCATAAAATATTATTAATTAGATCACATGAAATATTTCAATAAAGATGAAGTGGGCAACTTCTTAAATTGCCCTCTCTTTTTCAGTAATTCAATCAAGAAATACAAAAAGGCAAATGTCCATCAATTTTGAAGAGCTGCAAAACTACTCTATAAACAGAAGCCTCAAATAAATAATATTCTAAAACTACTTTTCAGGGCTGCTCTCGAAAATTAGCATTTTTATTTACATCTAGGTTCTTAAAACCATTCATTTATACTTAATCGCTTCTTAAAGGAATAACTTTCTTGCCATATGAAAAGTTAGCTTTTTTCAAATGCATTTGGAAATTCATTCTACAATCTTTAAAAAGATATAACAAAATTTGCAATTTGATTTATCCAAGCCAATCTCAATATGGTGTATTTCCAGAGGCAAAACAGATGCACATTATAGCTAACTAATTCTGTATTTTCTTATAACAAGTCTAGGAGGGAAACACAAGGACAAATAATGATAAAAAGCATGCTTTATCCCTTAATTCATCACATCAAACTCACTAATAATGATAGTTTTCCTTTCAGACCAGCGTTTGCAAGGCTGTATCTCTAGACTCTTAAATACTACCTCAAGTTTTATTTCTAATCATAGCATTTCATTCAATAACAAACACTTTCTTTGGTTTAGATTGATAACCTGGGACTCCAAGCCACCTTTACTTTTAAGTTTTACAAATACATTTGATAATAAATAATAGTTCATTTATCATTCAATCAGAAGATGATGGCTAAGGTTAGAGAGGCCTCAAGCAGACAGGTGGTGGTGAATACAACGAGCCAAAGAGGAACCTTGATACCCGAATCAAATATATGCACAAGGTGCGCTCCTCACAAAGATGCAGTAGATAGATAGAGTTGCCTGACCAAAAGCAGGATGGTCTCACAATAAAGCCTCACACCAGATGCTAGAAAATGAAGATTTACACAAGTTAATTTTGCCTGTTAGTCACCAGTTGTAAGCTCAATGGAAATCTAAGATAGTTGAGGCAAATTCTCTATCTTTTCAAATCTCATGTGGTGGGCTAAATGCATAATGAGCTGAAAGTACTCGGCCTGCGTATTAATCTACCAACATGCTATGCCATATGTGACCAGAGAGGTCAGGGGCTAAAGTGGGATCCCTTGACCTACATAACTATCTTTTTGGCCTTCAAGTAAGGAGCTGTAAGAGATGATTTTCCTGAGCTTTATCAGTCAGATTTTACAAGTTCAACAAGCTGTCTAGACTGTTTGCAGCAAGATCACAGCTAATCCCTCAGGGAAATGAATCTCAGAGTGTTCTGATCTGTAAACTAAATCTGCCCATGGTTAAAATGGACAAACTACTGTCCATTCATCTT